CGGGAGCCCGGCGGGAGCCCGGCGGGAGCAGGTAGGCTGGAGCCTTGTCTGTAAAAGCGCGGAGCGGGGCTGGGGGGAGCCGGCCTTGAACGGTGCCGGAGGAGGGACTCGTGTTCTGGCGTGTGCTTGAGGAGAGCGATGGGACCTTGCGCTTTCTTAAATATTAATCTTGGCGGTGATGGCTTGTGTGAGTTGTACGGGAAGCTTTTCTTAGGCAGATTGAAAATAATTCGTCTGATACGGCACGTCTTTAAACGCATTCACAACCGAGGCTGTCTCCCCTTCTGTCAACAGTCTTTTTGATCCGAAACAAATAGTCCTCTTAAGTACTTTACAGCGCATTTATGAAATGTTTGGGAGTCAGTGACGTTAGTAACATCCAACCATGGTGAATACTATCGAGAGTGATGCCTCAAATGCGTTTATGAGGTTCTCTTCTACTTTTCCCCCCCTCATCCTCATCTGAAATGTGAGCTAATCACGATGCTTGAATACAATCACCTTTTGGTCTTTTCGTGATCACCTTCCGTTTGCATTCAGTCTGTTACGGCTGAAGAGGTAGATAGAATTTGCTCAACGACAAGTTAATGCGCTCAGGTAGTTAATCTGAATTGCAGTTTGGCGTGCTGGGTCTCCATTTCCAAGAGCGAGGAATGCTAATACCAATGTCTAATAAAAATGCTGTCTGTCTTGAAAACTCCATTTCTTTCAAGGACTGGACAGCAGGCTGACAGCAGGGGAAAATACTAGCTACAGAAGTAGGTAAGTTTTCCAGAAGAGTGAATGTTCATGAGAGGCTTTTGGTACTCTTCTGGACACAGAAGGAAATGAGTCAGGATGTCTTGCATATATGATGTTTGGCCAAGCGGGAGAGGAAGAATTTTTCAGCGAGTGACTCCATAATTCCAAAAGGACAGAAATTCCATTATTAAATAAATGTCCTGACAGCCTGTCTGCAAATTTAAGAGCAACTTTTCTTTGGGTTCTGCAGAACACATGCAATATTATGAGGAAAGTCTTCAATTCAGTGTAGCGTGCAAGCGCCTTTCACGGAAGGCAAACCTCTTTGGAGTCCAGGTTGTCGGTGCAGACTGATCTGGTGCTACTGTATTCGTGCTTGTGTGATTTCCGACTGACATGGACTTCTTTTCTTTTCAGAAATGGAAAATCCTGAAGTGGCTGTGAGCAGCTGCAGTGCTCACGATGATGAAAATCTTTGCAGCTACAAACGGCACCCGTCGGTGTCACAGGAGGGGCTTTTGGAAGACCAGCTTAGAAGGAAGTTAAAATTCTTCTTCATGAACCCGTGTGAGAAATTCTGGGCCCGGGGCAGGAAACCTTGGAAACTTGGGATTCAGCTACTCAAAATAGCGATGGTTACTATTCAGGTGAGTAACGAGGGAAGCAGGGACTCTTCCTAGCCCGCGGGGATTCAAATAAGGCGTGCGGGTGACAAACTTGCCGTTCTTGGTGTGGTGCAGAGACAGGGAGAGGATAGACTGCAAAACTACCTTAGTTGCACGTAGGTAGCATAGATCTCAGGTAGCATAATGTTCTCCTGAAGCCATTGACTGAAAGATAGCTTTCCTAAGAGCAGAGAGGAGAGGAACCGTGTTTAAGGGCTCTACTTTGCTTTTTACTTTATTTTTTCTCCTTCCCATTTTTTTTTCCCCCCGAAGGGTGGCATCCTCACACATCCGTTCCCCCCCAATACCTTCTTTCACTCTGAGTGTGTTTGTGTTCGAGGGAAGGAACAGTCACTCGTGTTTCAGTATCACGGTGATGAGAATGGGTAGATTTTTCATGAGGTTTGCTTGTGCCTTGAGTATGGTATACAAACTCCTGTATTGTAAAAAAGCCAGAAATTTTGCCCCACTCTTGCCCTCACCCAGCCTTGCACCACGGGATTTCATACAACACATTTATCCGCTGCCTGAAACGCAACTGTTGGTCTCAAAGTTCTGTGGTTAAGGGGAAAGAAGGTCTTTCATGAAATCTTTCTAACACCTCAGATGATGATCCTTCAGAGGTGCCCACGTGTGATTTACATTTATGGTGGTGTCAGGGCTCTGGAGAAGAGTATTTTCCATGGTTGCATGAAGGATGGGATAAACTGCAGGAATGATAATCCTTTTGCTATCCATCGGGCAGTATGTTTGTATTTCTTACTTACCGCTGTAGTTTGAAATGTATCATTATCCTCTCATTGTTATCTGTCCCATTTTGCGAATAAACCCCAGATTTGATGGTGGAAGAACCTAAGTAAGAAAGAAACTAAGGCTGATTTAGCCTTTTCAGAGACAATCTGCCAGCAGGTCATTCAATTCACTGTTGATTTGCTGGTGTATTCCTGTATGCCTAGCGCGCTGAGCTTGCCCACAGAGCATTTTAGTACCTCTGTGACTGAGTTATCCTTATCAAAACTGCATATCCAGTTGGCATCGTGGCTGTAAAACTAATCTGTAGACTGCTGATTCAGGCTTATCTCTGATGAGTTTCTTCACAACACTCCTGACGCTAGATTTGAAACAATAGTCACTAAAGAGAATTGTGAGCTCCCACAAACAATGCATCCCATTCTTCTAGAAACCTTTTCCAGCCTGGGTAGTAGCTAGGAAGGTTTTACGCTAACTTACCATGAACAATTGCAATATATTTTTTAACAGCTTCAGAGGTTATCCTGTTACAAGCACAGTGGTGATCAGTTACTCTTAAAGCGTCTTTCACCCAAAGCTGAGGGAGGGGTGTTTGTTTTTCTGAGTTGTCCTCAATTTGCCTTTTCTGCCCTGGAGTCAGGACTTCCAAGTGGGGTCTGGTTAAGTCCTGCCCTGCCTTTTTTTTTGGCTGAGGTACGCTGATATTCCCCAAGGCAAGTTATATTAATGCCAGGCTGAACTAAGAAAGCACGTGTAACATTATAGGGGTAGCTTGAATTTGAGTTGGTGTCCTTTTCTTTGTAAAAATGCGAGTCCTTGGCCAACATCCTGGTAAAGGAACATTCTTGAAACCCATTGTTTCCTCAAGTCAAACTTTCTCTTGACCAGCTATGAAATGCAGTAGCCTGCATGTAAGTGCCGTGCCTACCAGCATGATGAAAAAGGGACTGTTTGCAGGACAGGATTCACATGTTAATCCAGAAGCCAACTTTGTCTTTGATATAAATGTCTCTTCCAACTTTGTCTTGGAACGGCAGATATAAATGTCTCTTTCAGCTGGTGGTTTTTGGATTGAGCAATCAAATGGTGGTTGCCTTTAAAGAAGAGAACACCGTGGCATTCAAACATCTCTTCTTGAAAGGATACATGGACGGAATGGATGACACCTATGCTGTGTACACACAGAGAGATGTCTATGACCAGATATTCTTTGCAATAAACCAGGTAAGGGCTGTCGCTGCGATGTATAGAATACAGGTGCTCTTTACCTGGGTGCCTCTTCTTTTTCCACCTTCCCTGATGGTGCCTGAAATGGAACTTCTGTGCCCGTTGCTTAAGATTGTAGAATGTTGACTCATTCAAGTTGTCGGTGGTTGCCAGAGCATCGTACTTGTGACATCCTTAAAGCTAATCAGTATATCAGTTCTGCACTAAATGCAGGTCTTGGATTTGAGCCAGAGTTCTTTGTGAATAACAAATCAGGCTTTCTAGTAAGGATTGTAAAGAGAACCAAAAAAAAAAAAAAGCAAAGGTATTTAGATCCAAATCCTGCACTTACTGTTTTTGTCAAATACCTTAAAATATTGGAGGACTCAGCTGTAGCATGGTGTAGCTTTCTTTAGGTGACCTTTTAAATAAAAAAACCATGGATTATGGCGCAGATACAAACGCTTGTGGGTTTTGTTTTTTCCAGAGACTTAACAGTTTTGGTGCCATCTAAGTTGATTTGTCTGTTCTGAACTTTAGTATTTACAGCTGCCCAACATTTCTGTTGGAAACCACGCTTATGAGAAGAGGGGAGCAGAAGAGACAGCTCTGGCCGTGTGTCAGCAGTTCTACAAGCGAGGAACCATCTGTCCTGGAAATGACACCTTTGATATAGACCCAGAGATTGTGACTGGTAACAAACCTAATCTGTTGTATCAGTTCTTTGAGAGGAGGGACCTTACATCTATGATGAATTCTTATAAACATCCAGGATTGTATAGTCCTATCAAATGATCTCTATTGAACTTACTACCAGCCAAAACTGGCGAGAAAACGACCCTGTAACTAACCTCTAGCCCTCCCCTACAAGGTGACAGTCCATCTACTGCCACAGAACACGTGATAAGCCGTTAGCACAGATGGCCATCAATACAAGTATTTTTGGGCTAATTTCAGGAGCCTTCCCTGTGAATTCATGACAAATAACTTGGCTGGTTCAGGGAAGCCACTGTATTTGTCAGCTCCTCACTTAAGCGCGCTGTCTTGCCTGCTGTAGTCAACAGCTCCCTCCAGCCTCGGGAGTGGGAAGGGCAGATGACAGTTAGAGAGCGTGGGAACCCCTGAGATACTGTGGTGAGTACTTCTCCCTTGCAGACTGCTTGTACATCGAGCCAACGACGCCGTTCGACAACACAACGGTGGGGAAGCACAATTTGAATTTCACTCTGGATTTCCACAGGTGAGGAGGGATCAGCACCTTTGGGGTGCTCGGGCGTTTTCCCTGTGACAAGCTAACGCAGAGCTCTCTTGCAGACTGGTGACGGTGCAGCTCCTGTTCAGTCTGAAGGCAATCAACCTCCAGACCGTTCGTCACCACGAGCTCCCCGACTGTTACGATTTCACTCTGACGGTACGTGGAAGGCTGCCACGTGTGTTTCTGTTCGAAACAGGCAATGGCTCTTCCTGGTTTGCCACGCACAGTCAGTGCAGATGTTTTCTGAGGAGTGCTGGGCATCACCGGCTGGTCCCCAGTGGTGTCTGGGTGTTGTGGCTTAGGGGACCCTGTAAGTAACCGCGCGTTGTGACTGTGGGAGGTTAAGCTGTGAGTGCTCGTGGTGTGGTCCTGAAGGGCTTGCTTGGCTTACAGCTCTAATCTGAAGTATAACGAAAGCATAAACCTCTTCTCTTCAGAGAGATGCTTCTAGGAAAGGTTGTTTTGAGATCATAGAGGAACGAGGCTGTAGTTTAAAAGAACTTCACCTCGTATCTACATGATCAAGCAATTTGTGGCAAATCCATGGTTCACCAGATTTGTCTTTCACTTGGACAGCATTTATTTGAATAAACTGGAATTACCTTAAGCTTCAGCAAGTTTCGTAACTTCTCCCCTGGGAGAATTATTCTGAATCAATATGAGAGCTTAGCCATACAGTGTGCTACGTCTGTAATGGTTTAACTTTAAAAAGAATGTGCTCTTTTTTTTTTTTTTTTCTTTTGTGTTAATGCAGATAGTGTTTGATAATAAAGCACATAGTGGAAGAATTAAAATAAGTCTAGACAACGACATAGCCATCAGGGAATGTAAAGACTGGCATGTTTCTGGATCAAGTAAGTCACATAAAAGTGTTCAAATTTCCATGCTAAGCTTTTCCCACGCTGGCACAATGTTTGTTAACTTTTTTCTTTATTAAAAGATGAGGCACTGTTGACATATATGCTCTAGTGCGCTCTAAATCCTGATTTTCTGAGGAACTGTTGTTCTTCAGCCTCCGATCTGAAATCCTGGGAACCCAGCCACACCGTTGCTTTCCTCAGCAGTTCTCAAACCTTGCACCACTGGTACTGTCAAAACAAAATTTTTCCACACCTCACTGTGCATCCTTCTCAGCTTTGGCTACTGAACTTGTGCTGCTCATTGCTTAAGGCTGGGCTGTGAACCGTTCTTCTAGCACCAGACAACAGAAGGACACATGATCGTGGTGGAAAGTTGAAACTGATTCATTCTTATCTCAGGACTTGGCACCAGGAAAGATAAGGAAGCGCTGTTGCTAAGGCTTGCCAGAGTGGAATGGCTAGAAACACTTTTTACTGCTGCTTAACTGTTGTTTGGCATGTGTTTGGGTGTAACTGAGATGCACAGTATGGTTAAATAATCTGCCTTAAACATAGAAGAGCAGCCTTTGTTGGCAGCTATTCGGTCTGGTCAAAATGTCTGAGATCTTCTTTGATGAGCGAAAATAATCTCTTCAGAAGTCAGCAGCTTTCTAGGACTGTATATTCCACTTTTTTATTGCTGAAGTAAGCAATAGGATGGATTTTTCTACTTTGCCACTTTCCCCTTAGCTATGCCTATGTCAGGAAATGCAGAGCTGGTTTTGAAAAAAAAAAAAAGTTTTTTGTTAAAGATCCAGGTTGGAATCGATTTGGGGGAATTTAATGAAATGCATCCCCGAGAACAAAGCACACGCATACTCCACGGAACACTCTTTATCGCCCGGCTTTGCCAGAGCTGCCGTGTTGCAGATGCACACCAGATGGCATGCTGCCTCCCACAGCCTGCTAGTGCAGCAGGACGAGAGGGTTTTGATGCCGGGCTTCGGTAATAATCCACATTTGATATCTTTATAGATCGCCTCTATAGCAGTTTTCAAAATCATCTCCTGGCGTAGCCTGTGTTATTTTCTGAAAGCCAAGGGAAAATACAAAGGTGATGATTGCAGTTGGATAATAACTGGTCGCTGTTCTGGCCTACGCTGCAAAACCGACTTGAATGGCAGCAGCACACGTGTTGGTGACGTTGGTATAAGCCAGAAGTAGGTGGGCTCTTTCAGAGTAGTTTGTGAAGTCAGCTAGAACTTCAGTGCCCCATTTTGGAGAATTGCTGCCTCTACTTGCAAATCTGGCATTAATTTGTTTCCTTTTTTATTTTTTTCTGAACCAATCACTCTTTAAAAATCTAATCCTTATATTGGCTCATCTAGTTACAGCTGTATGATAGGTACAAAACCCAAAAAGAGGTCTAGTGGTAGATTCGATGCAAAATTTGACCTTCGTTGATCAGGAATGTGAATTTTAGTAACGTAAGAGATGGAGAACTCGTGCCTAGCTCAGTGTTGGTCTTGGCTAGCTGAGCAGCATTGTCTGCACTGCCCTAGGACAGAAAACCTATCTGATAGTCAAACACTGGTCTGGAAGAGAACATATGTACCGTAAAGTTCCTGGGATTTCCCTTTTTTTTGGACAAGTTCTGTCACTCCAAAGGCCGTTCCAGTGCTTGTAAAATGGGCAGCTCCCACCTCTGTAAGAAGCACTCATGCTCTGGTATCTTTCTGATGTGGCATCAGCCTTCCTAAATTAACTGGAGTGGTGTCTGTAGTGCGGATGTACTTGTGTCTCTCATGAAAACATGTCGGATAAACTTTTGTGGGGAAAATGCTAAGATTTTGCTTCAAGTCAGTTGTATAAACGTCGTGAACATCAAAACTTGGTTCTTACTTTGGTATTCAAGATGGTTAAAAAGATTAAATGCACCTGATGATAAACATGTACATTTTTGTTCTCGCAGTACAGAAGAACACTCATTACATGATGGTCTTCGATGCTTTTGTTATATTGACTTGCCTGGCCTCGCTGGTCCTTTGCACACGATCAGTGGTTAAAGGAATTCGGCTCCAAAGGGTGGGTATAGCTCTCTCCTTGGAAAGTCTTCATGTCTTGTGTAAATCCGATTAACTTTTTTCTTTCCTCCTTTCCCCTAGGAATTTGTAAGCTTTTTCCTGTATTATTATAAGAAAGAAGTATCTTTCAGTGAGCAAATGGAATTTGTCAACGGATGGTACATCCTGATTATGGTTAGCGATGTCTTAACTATTGTTGGATCGACTCTCAAGATGGAGATACAAGCCAAGGTAAGCTTTTCACACTGTCAGGTGGAAGCAAAACTGGCTGTTTCTGTCCCAGCTAGGTTTAAATCTCTCAGAGGACTTCGGGCTGGCTGCACTTGATCCTGAGTGGCATGTAAAACTCCGTCTTCTCTGGAATTAGAACTGAGATGTGTTGTCTCCAGTTGCGAGATTTAAAAACTCCAAATATCACTTGATGTTACAGTTCTAATTATCTTTGCTGCTTTGTGACTCCAAGGAATAAGATGAACTTCATCTCTGAAAGTTTAAGACTGTTGATTTCCTGTCTTCCCTATTTAGGACCACTTATGTTTGTTTATTTGATGGATTTTTTTAAATTTAGCATTTAACTTTCTGTTCCCCATTTAACAAGTGGTTAACTAGCAGAGAGACTCTCTCCTTAAACACCCCTTTGCTGCTTGCCCAGGTTCTGGTTTCCAGCATGTACGTCACAGTCAGCCACAGGCAGGTTCTAGGCCTTCCATTTCTAAAATCAACTTGATATGGAAAAGAAACCTTTTTAAAACATATTACATGCAGCCAGAATTAGGGAAGAAAAATTATTACAATGTGCTGTCCTGGAGCACTCGAATATTCAGATAATGTTGTACTTCACCAAATTTTTGGCAGACTTTGAAGTGTGACATTGCGACACAACAGACTTTGGACGGTAGTGATGAAAGCATGGGTCTGAAATCCATCTGGTGACAGCTCGGCTGACATAAACGCTGTGTACACGTTGCCCTATCTTACCTGAGGAGCTATAAACTCAGTTCTTAGGAGTAGAAAGAAGCTATGAGGAAGTTGGCTAAGATTAGAGAGAGCTCCATCCTGCTTTGGGAGAAGTGAAGACAACAAGATTGCAGTAAGGTCTTGCATTTGGCATTCCAGTACCTTGTATATATAAATACATCTATTTATATGTGTTTCTTTTCTAAGAGAGTATTTTACTAAAACGTCTCTACAGGCACATTTCGCTTCATTTTGCAAGCCTTGTGGACCGTAATAACAAGGTCTTGTTCCGTGTTACTGCGTGGAAGTTAATGGCTGAATAACAAGTTCACGTTAAAGTAGCCTGAATTTGTTTTTTTTGTCAAGCGGGACATGAATTATGCTAATATGGAAGGGCAGCCAACTCGTAGAGGAGTAAAACCAGAAAATAGTGAAAACTTCTTATTCAAGGAAGCTGTCATGATCCATTTTCAGAGCAGAGCTGCAGTTCAGAGAACAGAGTACATGCTAACTTGGATGAAAACAGGCCAGTATGTATAGGTGGAAAAAACCCCAGTGAAGTACCGATAAAATATAAATGAGCTTCTGGTTAGAATTAATTAGAAACTCATTAGCCTTCTCCTTGATAACTTTCTACACCTCACAGTTGCTGGATACCTAACAAGATCCTCCTTAGTATTTATCTGAGCTGTGCTGACAGGTCATGCTGTTTTTTAAAAGCTGCGGTTCTAAAGCCAGGGCTGCACTGTCCGTGGGGATGCCCCGGAGGGATTCCCAAGCTGCTCTGTCCATGCCAATTCCCGAAGCAGTCGCCTCTGCTCTGGAAGCAGCATAAAAACGTTTGCGGTGCCGCTCCGCAGGTCTTGGCGAGGCAGGTGCAGAGCGGGGGCGTGCGGCCGCGCTCTGGGCCTTGCAGGCGCAGCGTGTCTTGTCAGGATCCGGTTGTAAAGGCACGTGAAGTGAGTTACCCTTGAAAGGGCCTTTGCTTTTGGGGTGGGGTTTCTGCTCATGAGGGTGTATTGCTCCAAACTCATTTTTCATGGGAGAGGCTGCCCAGGAAAACAGCGTTTCTTAACAGCTCTTTGTAGTAATGACAGTCGCCGTTTAGGACCTGCCAGTTGTTATAATACTTGATTTTTTTTTTTCTTTCTCTTCTTTTTTTTTTTTTTTAGAGCCTGACAAGTTACGATGTCTGTAGCATACTCCTAGGAACATCCACGATGCTCGTGTGGCTCGGAGTCATTCGCTACCTAGGTTTCTTTCAGAAGTACAATGTAAGGATCTCCTGGGATCTTCGTTGCTGTTGGTATTTATTCTGTTCGTTGCTCTAAGAGGACCGGCAGAAACGCGTGGTTGGATTCTAACTGTCGGCATTGCTTTGCGCAGCTTCTCATCCTAACGCTGCGAGCAGCGTTGCCCAACGTCATGAGGTTCTGCTGTTGTGCTGCTATGATCTACCTGGGCTATTGCTTCTGTGGGTGGATTGTGCTGGGACCATACCATGTGAAGGTAATGCACTTAACGTGCCCAAAGGCGGCTTGAGTAACAGAATGGATTCCAAACGAACGAGAGGTTGCTACTGTTGTCTTCCAAGTTTCCATGTGGAGGCTTCCCTTAATATAAAAATAGCGCATCTTCAACAGGATGCTGCTCTGTTTGAGGAGCCTGACTTCCATGACTCAGTCAGACTTTCCTCAAGTTATGAAAGCTCTGAGTCAGAAGTGGAAGCTGCCGTGACTCCCAATCACATGCTGGTATTTTGAGAAATCATTTTCATCTTGCAGAACACCGGTGTCAGGCTAAAGCTTTGGAGATTTTATCCCCATCCCCTTTAAAAGTGAAATTGGCTTATCTGAATTGAACGTATACGTCTACAGGGGTTGACAAACTTTGCTCGTTCCTCAAGCATTTTACTGTTTGCACCTTGTGGTACCAAGAGACCCGAGGCAGCCAGCCATCAGCTGCGTCTTCTTCATGTGATGTACAGTCTTTGGGTCCAAATAAGGCAGCGACAGATGTCCTTGTCTTCTTCCCTCCTCTCTAGTTTCGCTCTCTGAACACGGTTTCCGAATGCCTTTTCTCATTGATCAATGGAGACGACATGTTTGCCACCTTTGCAAAAATGCAGCAGAAAAGTTACTTGGTTTGGTTGTTCAGTAGGATCTACCTCTACTCCTTCATCAGTCTGTTCATCTATATGGTGCTGAGTCTCTTCATCGCACTCATTACAGATACGTATGAAACTGTCAAGGTAACCATGGACTCTTGCTCTTGGTTTGGAATAAAAAAATGCAAGATTGATGCTCTCGAGACTCTCATCTCCCTCAATATTCTGTCTTGCAGTGCCTGCCAATTTAAAGAATAAATATAATGGGTACTTTTGAGGGTGTAGAGTGATGACAAGAGCTTTTTAATCCCTCCCTACTTCAGTTTCTTACAGTCCTATCTGATTTCTTGCTCCAATGGAAGCGAAATGTCTACTAAAAACCAGTTAATTTCATATTCGGGTCTGTGAGTCTTCGGACTTGAGCAATGTCTGAAAAGTGGTCTGGGGAGGGTTTGGGTTATTGTGTGTTTTAGCCTTGTTAAAGGTTTAACTACCTATCAATTTTTAGCACTACCAGCAAGATGGCTTTCCGGAGACAGAACTTCAGAGATTTATATCACAGTGCAAAGACTTACCAAACTCTGGCAGGTACAGGTTAGAGGAGGAGAGCTCCGCATCTCTCTTCTGTTGCTGTAACGGTACGTACCGTTATTAAAATTATACATATCATGTGCAAGCATTAACATTTCCTGTACTCACTGCAATAGGCAGGACCCGCCGAACTCACTCCGTGTCTTCTCATCCACCTTTTCACGATACCGTGTGCAGTAAGGTGTCCTAACAAAAACGGTAGCAGGCCTGAAGCTTCGGGACAACATCAGCTTGCCAAGGTTTCAAGACAGCCTGCAGTTTAAGATGCTATCACAGCACTTGGAAAAGCATTGCCTGACTTCCACTAGGGAGGGCTTAATGCTTCAGTTACTTGAAGTTTTGTTTCTTCAGGAATCCTGGTTGCAGGACGCGTGGTTTATATTTAACCTGGCTGGCAGCAGCTCTCGAGTCTTCCTTGCTGAAGGGTCCCTTGGTGGGGGAGCCTTAAAATATTGGCAGCTTGATTAAAAAAAGATCAAAGGCATTTTCAGCTCCTTGGGCTTGGGCTTTTCAGGTGCGCTTTTATTATATGCCAGACAGGATATATATTTATGAGGGGGAGGAGATGGGGATGTATTTGAAAGGCGGGAGCCTGCGGTGAGCCTGTCCAGAGCGGAGAGCTGCTGTTCTGACCCAGTGCCTTACTGGAGATGAAAGTGTGGGATGAAGCAGAGCAGGGCATTTTGCTCCTGGGTAAAGGGCACGGACATGTTAATATTTCCTTTTCTGCCCACACCTCTCAGTTTAACCAGGCAAGAAACCCAACGTGAGGTGGGACAGGGTGGGGATGGAATGCGTTTCCCACCAACGGTGAGGCGGGGATCAGGGCTCTAGAAGAGCGTTCGAAAAGGCGAACTTGGGTGCTCTCAAGCAACTTGCTTTTCGGGAGTATCGGGCAGCCAGCAGCGCCCTGGGCTCGAACAGAGCTGTAGCATTTAAGCACCTCCTTTCAGAGCCTTGTTTCCCAAACGGATTACCTACGCTTTAATGATTCCACCCTGGTGCCGAATATCCACGTGCATGCCTCGTACCGTGCGTGTTAGTGTTACAAACTGCTTTTTTAGCTGGAAATCGTGTGTTTCTTTCTCTAGAGGCTAGACCAGGGGCTGACTTTGCAGTTGCCTGTAAACACTGTGCGTTGCTCCGTTAGCTCTCTGCTGTGGCCTTGTGGTTTTACTTTGAAACAAATGACCTGTAGGACTAAGTAAGTATCTCGAGCGGGATGTCGTGTTATCAGTTCTACGGTTTCCCCTCCTGAAACAGTCACATGGCCCTACAGGACACACAAGGCTTAATTCTTTCCTATGTTCAAAATGGTGGTTCGGAGCAGTTTCTTATCAGTGTGTGTCAAATTAGTAATTAAATCGTTCAGGTGCATTTTGAAGGCTCTGTGTACAACGGAGCTATTATTTTGATGCATACACCTGACAGCTTTTTTCACCCTCTCCTGTACAGGTTGCAGTGAACATATTTAATGGATTGTGGGAGCGTATCACGGAGGCTTTAAAGCAGCACATTGCAAGAACCGGACAGCGGAGCTGGTGGAAAACCTCATACCTGAAGCCTGAATTTGCTTTTCTCGAAAAATCCTGTAAGCCTGTGGCAGAAGCTTGTGATAAACGTAGAGTCTTTCTGGTTAGGCACTCTCACTGCTAGTTCAGGGGTTTGGGGGGGGGACTGGGTTTTTATTAGCTTTGTTCTACTCGTTTCCTCCGTTAAATTGCACTAGAATGCAAAGGGCATTAAAAAGCTGTGTGTGTTCAGAGACTTGGCTAGATCGTGCAAGTAGACTAGAAGTGCAGTAACTTCCAACTGTAAGTAGAAATAGTGCTGGACAACTGCCACTTTGAACACCAGCCTAGTCCTCAGTACTGCGGGCGTTACCTAGCTCTGTCCGACCCGTCACTGAATGAATGCAAGCTCACGCGAGAGCCCTCAGCATTTGTTTATAGTAAAAATAAACTAAAACTATGAAATTTGGTGTGATTTGTTTCTGGAGACATTGGAGGGGATTGGTGCACAAGCTGTTCAAATATGGCTGCGAGCACCAACTAAATATTTCTAGGAACGCAAGTCCTGCTTGTGGCAGTCTCTTCTCAGAGAGGCCAGGGATATGCCAGGCCAGAACTGAAGTCTGAGGGGTGAGTTGAGTGGAGAAATGTAGATGTTCTCCTATATCCAGCGCTGAGCAGGATCAGTTACAGTCTTCAGCTTCGCAGTGTGCTGACCTTATGTTTTTAAAGGTAAAATCAGACAAAAGCACTTTCAAAATACCTATTATTTGCAATCTTCTCTGGTACACAAGTCTGGAAACCTGAAGTCTAAACTCAGTTAAATACACAGAAGATGTGTCTCTGAGAGTCGTACCTCTCCACGCTTTAGAAACTGGATGTTTCCTCCCAACCTAATAACCTGGTACTGCCGGTGGCTGTCTGAAACATTAGATCTTACACAAGTTCAGTTTTGACAACGTGGTTTATACACTTTGTTGATTGTGATACCATTTAATGGATGCCTTATTTTGTATAGTCTGTTCACTCTGGGAGCAGGACAGAAAACCAAAGGGAAGCGTAGTTTAGCTAACTGGCATTGGTGAGCAACATTCCTGTAGCTGTGTGTGACAACGTATAATGCTGTGCACAAAGGTGGACACTAAACATGTTCTGTCTGAATGTTTACACATTGTAAATGCGCTACAATAAACCCTTCCAGCTGCACTAAGCCTTGGGTGTGTGGGTATTCATCTTAAAAGAGTAAAGATGTTGCCAGGTTAATATGGGAGCGTTTATTTTTTTAATAGCAATATGCAATTTCTGGCATGAAACTCTGCGGGGTGCGTGAACTTGGCGTTTCCTGTAATCAAGTGGACCCCCCGCGAGGACCTGTTCCCAGCTGATCAACGGCATTTCAGAGTTTGCCACAGAAACAAATAAGCAAGTAGTAAGCCTTACGCTAAAAACGCTCCTGTCGTTACACGAAGTTCGAATTCAGCAAAGTCAAACCAGGCGCAAGGTGGAGGCAGAACAGTGTATTCACAGTATCTGAAAGTTTCCTCTGTTGAGGTCTTTGTCTCCCAACAGCCACCTAAGACTGAAGACTTTTGAAGCTTTTCAAGGAGATTCAAGGCAATCTCGCATCAAAAAACATGTATTAAGTGACCATGTTTTCCGTTGACACATTAAACTCCTTATGGATCTTCGACGACACACGATATATAATGTGAGCATCACTGTCACTGTATAAAATAGTTTGGGCACGGAATTCTGACCAGGATGGCAAGCGCTTTAAGACATGCACAAGGCTGACTTCTTAGCGAGGTTTTTTCATACAGAGTTAAGAGAAAGCGAAGGTTACTAATTTGCTCAAAATGCAGGTGCATCTTGTGAAGAGCGATGGGACAATCTGTTTGCCAACAGACTTGTAAGGCAAGTAGTAGCCTGATTTCATTTAGGAACGCGGCAGAGCGTACGCTTCCTCACTGTTAACTTGCGAAATGGGCCACAAATTTCAATAAAATTTGACAGAACTCTAAAATACTAAATTGTTACAGAGCTTTAGAGAAGCCTGCAGTATGAGCACAAGGCATGGAAAGCTACAATGGGCGACCTCAAAGCAGGAAAAGATATATATAAATATATATATATATAAACATTTTTTTTCAATTCCTAACAGGACAAATCTTCCACTGAAGACTGGTTTCTGTTGCCTGAAGGGCAGACTTCACTGAGAAGCTTGTTTTGCAGTGAAATCCCTGTTAGAGCCTTTAAGTAATGACCGGTGCTTGTGCTACGGCTGAGAAGTCAATCAACTGAGACGCAGAAATTCAGCAGAAAACCCACGCTCTGCTGTACCACACCGCTTTTCATTTAGCATTGCTGGCAGCTGGCAGTGGGTTTGGGGAGGAAAGAGTCGACAAAAGGCACCTTGCCCTGGAACAGTAAAGGGCAGGGTCACAGTGTGCAGCCCGAGGGGAGAGCTATCTAAACGCAGAAGGAGGATGTGTAAAGCGAAGGATAGGATGGGGTGGGAGGAAGAGAAGGGACAACTGCTTATAAAGTCAGCAGAGCGTATTTCTGGCCACGAGTGCAGGCTGTTACATGGGGGAAAGCAGAGCAGTGCCCTGAAAGGTTACTGGCTTACACCTGCACAAAATGTCCACTTCTGACTGCAAAAATGAATGCTGCTTGTATCACATACCTCATATCCATCTCGATTTTGTTTTTTAAGAAAACCAGACACTCGAACACTTATTGTTCGCCTTGGTAGTGCTGCTGGCAATCTTGCTGTTCAGGTTGCTGACCCGCTTGATCCTTGATGTTCAGGATCTTCGTCTGCCCGAGTATTTTGCTCACGTGAGAAGAAATCAGTCAACGCTGTGTTTTCTAGCCTACTGGCTTCATGTGAGACAAAGCGAAGGAGACCTGCCCCTGCCTGTGTGGTGGGGCTTTTTAACCTTGTTTTGTGTCAATATAGGATGTGCTGGTTATAGCCTTGCAGAGCCAAGACGTGTGACAATGATCTTATTCTAAAATAACCCTCGTGACTTCAGCAGTATCAGTGATCTCAACATTAGCAATGCTGGTAACGCGTGTAAAGCTGCATCCTGGAGACATCGGTATCTACACAGATAGAATCAAGCAGGCGCAGATAGAAGCATGAAATGCAGGTGGGGAGAGCAAAGAAGCAGCTACAAGCATCAGTTAAACTCAGGATGCTTAAAAACACCATCTTAAGGAAAACAGGGCTTTCAGCGCTGCCCAGGAAGGTGCAGAGGGGTAAGAGAGTTCCTTTGTTCTGATTCTCACTGGGCTCTCGAAGAAGCTGCCTGAAGAACACTGGTAGTCAGTATTCCTTCATGAAAATAAGTTGCAGGGTGCTAAACTTGGGTAACAGCTGTTTCCATACCAAGGCTCGTTTCAATGCCAACGTTTTGCATATGCTCAGGTAGTGAGAACTTCTTGTTTTCAGCAGAGCTCAGATCTCTTAACAGAATGAAGTTACACTGAGGGGAAGAGAGAGGCGGGGGCCGTACTTGTTTCCAAGTGCCAGTTTCTGTGTTGGATCGAAGCATATTCTCAACAGAATGTAAACAGTGTGCATGCAAAAGAGGTAGAAATCAGACCCAGATACGTTCATACCTTTCCAATTTAAAAAAAATAAAATGTGTAAAGGCATAATTTATCTCTGGCAGATGGGAGGAAAAAACCAGACGCTGCTGTAAGAGACCAGACCTGGGATTGCATCTGTCAGGAGCATCTTCCTGAGGCAGCAGCTAACGCCAGACACTTCGGAGAACACCTTCAGAAAACCTTCATGCCTGAGCTGACATCATGCTCTTGCAGCTGATTTGGAGTAACCGCACGTAGATGTTTGTCCAGGCTTTTGTTCCTTCTTCTCCCTTAAACAGCGTGACCATAAGCTCAGCATCATCCGACAGCCTTACGCAAGGGTCCCCCCCCTGCCCACCCCCACCGTGAGGGCTGGTAGGGAGCTCACGGTTGTCACAATGAGGCCTCTGCCAAGTCTGCGCTCTCGTTTAAACCCCCGACTTCGAATTAACCAAAGGAACCTCTGAAGAACCTCTGAGGAACCTCTGAGGAACCAAGGCCCTTTTCAGCTGCAGAACGACCAGCCCCGCAGTAGCTAACCGAACCCGCTACCACAGCACCTGCTCCGCTTGGCGGGAGGGCGCCGAGCGCCGGTCACTTCGCTCCGAAGAGGTGCTGGGGCGGCGGCAGTTCCCGCCG